ATAAATAAAATCTTTAAAAAAAAAAAAAAGAGAGAGAGAGAGTTCCCTTTAAAAAAAAAAAAGAGTGATCATGGGACACCTGGGTGGCTTAGTGGTTAAAGGCCTTCTTTTAGCTCAGGTCGTGATCCCTAGGTCCTGAAATCGAGTCCCATGTCGGGCTCCCTGCTGGGAGTCTGCTTCTCCTTCTGCCTATGTCTCTGTGTGTTTGTGTGTGTCTCTCTCTGTGTGTTTCTCATGAATAAATAAATAAATCTTTTTAAAAAAAGTATAAAAGAGTGTGAGAATACTAGGTTATCTCACAGGCCCTTCCAGCTCTGGTATTTTGTAACCTAATGATAAAGCCTACGTATATCCGTGAGATGGCCATTTTCTCCTATATAAAGTGACTTCCTAATGAAAATGCTGAGTAGCTACAGAAACTGCACAAGGTAATGGTGAAAGCACTCAACGCTGCCTCTATAGCCTACTATTCTGAAGTGGAATCATCTCATGAAAGCTGCTTTGAATAAAGAGATACGGAAAGAGTAAGAGAAGTAGGACTTTCAGGGACAACTAAGGTTTCAGAGTAAATGATGATAGGAGAATTTTACCTGTTCATTGTTTAAATTTTTTTAAAGATTTATTTATTTATTTATGAGAGAGAGAGAGAGAGAGAAAGAGAGAGGCAGAGACACAGGAGGAGGGAGAAGCAGGCTCCATGCCCAGAGCCCGACGCTGACCGATCCTGGGACTCCAGGATCTCGCCCGGGCCCAAAGGCAGGCGCTAAACCACTGAGCCACCCAGGGATCCCCCATTGTTTAATATTTAAAATGCAAAAAATCTAAGTTGACTTCTTCAGACAAATTATTCTTAAGGAAAGATTTTTTTTGTTTATCCCCAGAGGTCTTCATGATCACCAGGAAAGAACTCTTGAAGAGCAATTTTTATTTTGCTGCATAAATAGGTAGCTTCTCACCAGACAAGCAGATCCAATAGACAGCTCTTCTGTAAAGGTTAGTGAATTTAAGTTATACCTTGGTAACACTATACCTGAAGATAGCTTTCTCCCACAATCTGAATTACTCTAAGAACTAAGAGATGTTATTGTTTTGGGCTTTTATTTTTTTTTTAAGATTTTATTTACTTATTCATGAGAGACACACACAGAGAGAGAGGCAGAGACACAGGCAGAGGGAAGTCCTTCCTTATGCGCACAGTAGAAAAAGAAAAACATTCTTTGATTCTCTGATAGGGACAGCTAATAGCCAAGAAAAGAGAATAGCCAAATGACACTTCAGATTTTTCTTTGGCACTACTGTGGTTAATGCTAAAGATTAGTTTGCTCTGGGTTAAAGCATTCAGACTTGATATAAGCCATTTGTGGTCATGGATCAACAAAAAGTTTTTGAATGCCCACAGGTAGAGGCAATTTTACTCTCCTATAATCATCTCACAGGATCTTAAACAGCTATTGTTCCCACTTAAGAAACAAACAGGACACATTCATGAATTTCCTGTTTTTCTATTGTAAAAGTTCTCACTCATGCAAAACACCTCCTGCTCAACATCCAGCTCTAGCTCTCCTACTAATCATGCGGCCCTCACCCCCAAATCCCTCCAAGCATTCCTGGAACACCATAGACGGAAGGCAGTACCCCAGCAGCTACGGCTGTCTGGGCTAGCACCCAGCGGGGCAAGATTACAACTAGAAATTGATTCAAGTCACTCCCTGCTATGGAGGATGTTATGGAATCAGTGACAATATTATTGCCAAAGAGTCAATGATTCCTATGGCTGGAGGGCCTCTGTAGCTGGGGTCAGCTCTTAAGCCCACACCAAGGAGAGAGGTCTCTTGTTTCTGACATCCAGGATGATGCTGGGCCTTTTCCTGCCCCTGAAATGCCTGGTGAACAACAGGCTGAATCTGACCCCACAGTGACCTCTGCACAGTGTTCAGGCTCCCAGCCCCAGCCAATAAGAAATATGGTACTAAAGAGGTCCCTGACGGGTTTTATTAGCCTCACCCTCCAGGTGAGGAGGATGAACCAACCATCAAAGGAGGATGGCAATTTTGTCCTTAAAGACCTTAAAGCAGGGCAGCTCGGGTGGCTCACCCTGTTTAGCGCCGCCTTCAGCCCGGGGCGTGAACCTGGAGACCCAGGATCGAGTCCCACATCGGGCTCCCTGCATGGAGCCTGCTTCTCCCTCTGCCTGCCTCTCTCTCTCTTAAAAAAAAAAAAAAAAAAGACCTTAAGGCAAAACCAGTGTTTAAGAGAAAAATTACTGTGACAGAAACTCTTTTACACTAAAGACCTGTTGTGAGAAATACAAATGAATTGTATTCAGATTGGAGGATATTATAGAAAAGGTCAGTCCCACAACTATCACCCATGATCGATTGACCTGAGATTCAAGGTCCACAAGTATGAACCACATACACCACCCCCTTGCCTTACAAATTCTCTTACACATATCCTAATTTAAAGTATGTCCAAAAAATAATTAACTACCCTATAGACTATTGCAACTACCCCCATCTGCAGAGAAACTAGGATGGGGGGGGGGCAGGAGGGCCAATTAAATCACTGAACCTAGAAAGAAGGCCGGAAAGAAGGTAAGAAATGATGAGCAGACACTGAGAAAAAGTAAAGAAAATTTGGTAAAGGACATGATTGGCCAGAAACTTACTTCTTCAGAGACAAAAAACTATGCCCTACAATGCTCAAATAGGATTGCTCCAATTAATGCAGGGGCCACGGAGCACCCTCCATTCTTTACTTCCACCACAAGTCTTCTAAGGAGTACACAAGGAATGGATACAAACAACCAGGCAAAGCATCTCCTACCTGAATTTTCATTGATACCCTGGGTTCATCTAACGTACTCACTACTACACCAGTACCATGCAAGTCAGCCCAGACTCCATCTCCTTCCCTAGTCAGCATTCTAGAAACCTTCATCCCAAACCTGGAATTCATTTTTAAAACAAAGGCAACTAAACACACTTTAGGCGATGGGGAGTTAAAGCTGCCACATAGAAATAAACAACATGAAGAACGAGGGGAAGATTCTCTGCAAGATAAACACCTTTCCATTTTTTATTTTTAAGTGATCTTACAAGGTTAAGTCACAGGATTCTCCTTAAATAGCGTGAACAATGGAGCAGGGTCCCAGGTCCTATTTTAGATGTGAAACCTCTTCCTTCTTGTAAAACTGGCAAAAATCATTTAGGTCTTCCTGCCTCTTCCCCTGATTTCAGGCTACGCCCTCCCTCGCTTAGGATCTCCCCACCATCTGCATCACTGCAGAAACCACCAGGATTAGGAAGTGCCTCTACCTCATTCACCAACACTTCAAAATGCTACTCCAAACCCAGAGCAGGAACAGCGCAGCAGCAAGACACAGAGCACCAGGCTGGGGCCGAGGGCACCACTGCTGGATACCAGCCGCAGGCCTGCTCGGGTTTCCCATCTACGCCCCCTCTCTTCCCCATCTCCAGCCCTCTCCCTTCCAACGGGTGCTTTATCCTTTTATTTTCCCTTCACGGTTGGTAATCTGACATCACCCCTATCTGCCTTCCGGCTGTTTTTACACTGGTCTTCTCCTCCCCTTTACGCTCTTCAGCCGTGCTCAAGAAGCACAGACTATTTCTACTTTTGCCCCATAAATAGCTCAGTGATGGTGCTATGGGGAGACCCCACAGCCGCCGACCCTCCTGCTGTAGACACGAGTCCCACGGATTCCCTCCTCTCTTTTGGGCATCCAGTTTTGTAGGTTTTTCCGCGGCCACTTTTCAGGTATTCAAAGCTGGGGACGGCGGGGGAGGGGCGATGTGCCCGAGGCATCCCTAAAGTCATCAAAGAAGGCGGCTTTGAGCATCTTCCCGCTCAGGTCTTTGCAAACCGTTTGAGGTAGCTTTAAGTTCAGAGCCAGTCTCCAACATCGAGTGGTTCTGTTACCGTGGGAAACGGGAATTGCACATTATCTTGCCTCAAAGACTCAGGAGTCCGGTTCCGGGCAGGAAGTGAAGTTCCGGGCGGCTTCGGTGCGCTCCGTCCCCGGCGCGGGTCTCCCGTCCCCGCTGGGAGGGGCCTCGGCCGGGGTGGGGGTGGGGGCTCGGGGGGAGGGGCCTCGGGGGAGGGGCCTCGGCTGGGGGGGCCTCGGCCGGGAGGGGCCTCGGGGGGGAGGGGCCGCCGCTGGCAGGGGCCTCGGCCGGGAGGGGCCTCAGCTGGGGGGGCCTTGGCTGGAGGGGCCTCGGCTTGGGGGGGGGGCCTCGGCTGGGGGGGCCTCGGGGGGAGGGGCCTCGGCCGGGAGGGGACTTGGCTGGGGGGGGCCTTGGCTGGGGGGGCCTCGGGGGGAGGGGCCTCGGGGGGAGGGGACTTGGCTGGGGGGCCTCGGCTTGGGGGGGCCTTGGCTGGGGGGGCCTCGGGTGGAGGGGCCTCGGCCGGGAGGGGACTTGGCTGGGGGGGGCCTCGGCTTGGGGGGGGCCTTGGCTGGGGGAACCTCGGGGGGAGGGGCCTCGGCCGGGAGGGGCCTCAGCTGGGGGGGGCCTTGGCGGGGGGGGCCTCGGCTGGGGGGGGCATCGGGGGGGGAGGGGCCTCGGGGGGAGGGGCCTCGGCCGGGACGGGCCGCCGCGCCCGGACCTACCCGAACGCATCGCACTAGGGCGCCAAGCGGCAGACGCAACAGTCCGCTGGGCTCCCCGGCTCCGCCGAGTTAGTCCCTGGGCGGCTTCGGCTCGGTTCGGGGGCCCCGACTGCTACGGAGGGGCAGCGACCGTGACCGGGGAGCCGGGCGGGGCGGCGCCTGGACGCGGCGGGAACCCGTCTCCTCCGAGCCGCTGTCTCGGGCCGCGGTGCCAGGCCCGTCAGGTCGGAAGCAGCACAAGTTAGAACAAGATGCAAACAAATCTATGAATCCTTAACTGCGCCGCCTCCCGCCTGAGAGCTCGGGGAGGGCCTGGCGGGGGCGTGGGGGGCGGATGCCCGAGCAGCCGCGCTCCCGGCCTCGGCGTCCTTACCTCGCTCAGCTCGGCCGCGGGGTCGTCTCCGTGCCTCGCGGCGACCCCAGAACTCATGACTGCGCTCCCGGCGCCGGGCTCCTCCGCCCTCGCCGCCTCCCGGCCTCAGGGCTGCTGACTTGGGCGTACGAGGCTCGGCGCCCGCCGCCTGCTCCCTCCGGCACACTCCGGTCTACACAGCCATCGTCAGCCAAGACAGCGAGGAAGCCCCGGGAAGGACGCGGGGTCTCCCGAGGGCCGCGGGGCCGGGCGGGGGGCAGCGGCTGCAGCGGCCGAGCCGCGGGGATCCGGGCGCCGCCACCCCCGCCGCCTCGCCGCCCCTAGGGGGCCCCGCCGCCCCTCATGGCCCGGCTGGAGGGCACCTCCCGGCGGGACCTGGCACCCCGGAGGGCTCCGGCGAGCTCCCGAGGTCGAGCAGGGCGGCGGGCCGCGGGGGATCCGCCCTCGGGCCCCGGGGAGGACACGGAGCCAGAGGGCCGGCGCGGGGCGCGCTCCGCCGCCAAGTTTCCCCTCTGAGCCGTGCGGAGTTGTGAGCGGCTCCGGCTGGAACCCGGCGCTCGGCGGGCGGCGGAGGCGGCGGAGGCGGGGCCCGAGAGAGGGGGCGGGGGGGGGGGCGCAGGCACCTTGCCAGCTCGCTGCGAGAGCGCTTACGGGACCCAAGACCAGGAGGAAGAGGAGGAACCGCCTAAGTAATTGTGCAGGGAAAAAAGCCACCTAAGTAATTGTGCAGGAAAAAAAAATTTTTTTGATTCCTCCTTGAAGCCACTTTCCATGATTTAATAAGGTCAAGACAAATCTGAACACTGTCCATCAGGCAGCGCCGTACGCTTCTCATGGCACATTAAGATTTTACAAGAGTGGGAGAGGTCATTTTCCCTGATGGGTCTAAAGTCGACACCGAGAGGGTAAATTCATTGTCAAACTCCCTCTCTGTCGCTGGGGCGGATTACATTTTCTGCACGTCCATAATAAAGATGCCCCAGCCCTTGAAAGATATAAAATAGGTTTCAATTTCTCATCCTCCTCAACCCCAGGCAGTCCTTTTAAATATTACAGTTCCCATACTCTTCCTTAAAAATCTTACTGCTTACCTGAGCAGAGCTAGGTTTGTATTTCTGGGATTTGGAGTATGAATCGGAAAAGATTTCTCTTTTTTTTGTTTTGTTTTGTTTTGTTTTTTAAGATTTTATTTATTTATCCATGAGAGACAGAGAGAGGCAGAGACACAGGCAGAAGGAGAAGCAGGCTCCATGCAGGGAGCCCGACGTGGGACTCGATTCCGGATCCCATTCCGGATCGACCCAGGATCACACCCTGAGCCAAAGGGAGACGCTCAACCACTGAGCCACCCAGGAGGCCCAGAAAAGATTTCAAGAGCCTGTTATATCCAGTCAACTCTTGGAACCAGAGCTCCCTTCATCTTTGAGTTTCCCTGAGGTAAAAGCATCCCTGTCCAGGGAAGGGGAGGAATTTTCCTCTCCATAAGGCTTAAAGTCCCACTGAACTTGAAATACACTGAAAAATGTTCTGATCCTTAAAACAGTAGGTCTGCGGGATTGCTTAAGAGGCCTCAACAGTCTTTCTACACAATGGGAACAAAATGTCTCCATCCCCAGTGACAGATTTGGCATTTCCTAGAGCCTTATATGAAAAAGCCATTGTATTGTTAATTTTCAAGATTTGTTTTTTTTTTTTTTAATCAAATAGGATGTTTATTTTGCTCTTTAAGAAGGAGCAAAGAGCTCGATCATTTGCATTTGTCTTCTTACCCAGCAGCTTTCCTGGAGAGTTCATTCATTGCCTGATAGAGGCACTGGGATAAAGAAGAGTTTGCTGCTTTGGGGGAGCACAAGGTCCAAAGTTCTGGGGCATTGCCAGACTAGAACACACTGGGAGAAACACTTCTGCATGGGGAGGGCTTAGGAAGCCACATTTATTTTTCTTATTTCCTCATTAAAATCTATTGAGGGGGCACTTGGGTGACTCAGCAGTTGAGTGTCTGCCTTTTCCTCTCAGGTCATGATCCTGGGGTCCTGGGATAGAGTCCCTAGGAGTGTTTAGGAGCCTGCTTCTCCCTCTGCTTATGTCTCTGCCTCTCTGCGTGTGTCTCTCATGAATAAGTAATTAAAATCTTTAAAGTAAAAAAATAAAATAAACCTATTGAGAACTGGGGAGCCTGGCTGACTCAGTTGGTGAAGCATGCAACTCTTGATCTCGGGGTTGTGAGTCCAAGCCCTATGTTGGGTGTAGAGATTACTTAAAAATAAAATTTTTAGGCGCACCTGGGTGGCTCAGTCAGTTGAGCGTCTGACTCTTGATTTCAGCTCAGGTTGTGGTCTTCAGGCAGTGGGATGGAGCCCAGAGTCAGGCTCCATGTTCAATGGGGAATCTGCTGGAGATTTTCTCTCTCCCTCTGCCTCTCCTCTCCCTCATGCCCAGGCCCATGCACTCTCTCAAATAAATAGATCTTTTAAAAAAAATTTTTAATCTTTAAAATCATTTTAAAAACATATTGAGAACTGAGTGTGTGCTTTAATGTACAGATGGTGGTGAATATAAAGGAGGGACACCGGGGTGGCTCAGCGGTTGAGCATCTGCCTTCAGCTCAGGGTATGATCCTGGGATCCAAGATCGAGTCCCACATTAGGCTCCTTGCGGGAAGCCTACTTCTCCTCTGCCTGTGTCTCTGCCTCTCTCTGTGTCTCTCATGAATAAATAAATAAAATCTTTAAAAATATATGTGTGTGTGTGTGTGTCTGTGTGTGTGTGACTCAACCATTAACCCTACCCATAAAGTGTTTATAGTCTCATAAAACATAAAGAAAATGACAGTTCTAGGTAGAAAATGGAACTTCCCATGAAAGCAATACAAGTAAAGATGTATTACAGTTCAGAGGAGGAAACAGGATTTTGGCTGGACTTAACTGCAGGAGAACTGTGAAGGAATCTTAGGAGAGGCAGCATGTGAGTTGATTTCTGAAGAATAGCTGAGTCCAGCAAAAATGAGGAATTAGATGAAGGAACCCCATACAGGGGACCACTGTGAGAGAAAGTATGGATGGTGGATGGAATGTGCCAGGCGTGTGTGGAAAATGGCAGGTGTTCCGTTTTAAAGTGGAATGTGGATGAGTTAAAGACAGATCATGGACAGTTTTGAGTACCAGACTAAAAAAATGGGACTTCTGATAGGCAATAAAGAGCCACTAAAGGTTTCTGAGCACAGAAATAATAGGATCAGAGCTATGCTTTGAGACATTCCAATGGATCCGTACCACACTCATGAGTAACTCACATGAATTCAAATAGACTAGTGTTGAGTGTGATTCTGGTGTTTAAAGAAACTTTTTTTTTTCTTATACTAGATGGCCCCTAAAGCCAAGCAGATGACTTCATCTGGTGTTCAACCAAAAGAAAATGACCTATTCCAAGACTGGAGGAAAAAACTGGCACTGTTGAACTTTTTAAGAAGCAGTATAACTGCAGATTTTACTTTGTGAATAATATAAGGCATTTTCAAGAGTAACGTTGACTATATGGAATATGTTCTTAAACCATGACTTTCATACTTATCCACCACAGAAGCTGCAACTCCACGGAAGTCTGGCAACAGTGGTAAGGTGGTAATTGAAAGTGGTAACTGAACATGCCGATTGGACTATCCCAGTAGTCCCGCAATAGGCTACAAAGGCCTGAATTAAGTTGGGGCAATACCGGGCAGCCCCGTTGGCGCAGCGGTTTAGCGCCGCCTGCAGCCCAGGGCGTGATCCTGGAGACTCGGGTTCAAGTTCCGCATCGGGCTCCCTGCGTGGTGCCTGCTTCTCCCTCTGCCTGTGTCTCTGCCTCTCTCTCTAGCTGTGTCTCTATGAATAAATAAATAAAATCTTTAAAAAAAAAAAGTTGGGGCAATGCCAATGAATAGGAGGGGGCAGAGGTTAGGAGATTTTATGGAAGAGAGTAGAAAGAAACTATGGTGGAAAGAGGAGAATTTAAATATGACTTATAGATCTAGAATGTGGCTGAATGGGGTTTCAGACAATGTCCTCAACAAAAATAGGGATTCCAAAAAAGGAATAGGTTACGGAATAAACTATGTTTGAGATATTGTAAGTCTGAGGTAGCAACTGGGTATTCAAGGAGAGGCATTCAGCAGGAAGCTAGAAATGTAGCCACAGAGATACATCAGGGCTGAGAGTGAGGATGAAGGCTTGGGGTGACCCCCATTAGATCAATAAAACCATTAAGTCAGGTAAGGTTGCCAAGGAAGAGGGGACAGAGAAAAAAGATCCAAGGACATTATCTTAAAGAAGGTCTTTTCATAGGGCGGGGGGTGGGGGTGAATGGGTGACGGGCACTGAGGGGGACACTTGACGGGATGAGCACTGGGTGTTATTCTGTATGTTGGTAAATTGAACACCAATAAAAATTAATTTATTAAAAAAAAAGAAGGTCTTTTCATCCAGGGGAAAGAATAAAAGAGGAAACGGTAGGGAAGGCCAATGAGAGAAATAAGAATATAACCAGAGGAACCTGGAGTCTGGGAGTCAAAGGAAGATGTCAAGATAGAGGTGGAAGCATCTGTATTGTAAGCTAGAGAGGGGACAGAAGCCTCAAGACTGATAAAAGAGCATCTCAAAGACCTGAATGTCCTTCAGAGAGAAATGACTGCAAAACTAAGGAGACAGAATGCAGGTTACCACAGGGAATGAGGAAGAACCAGGGATGGTAACCATGCACACGACTCTTTCCTTAAATTTGATGGTGACAGGAGTTCGGGAGACAGGCTAGTTTCTTAGAGCAGGTAAGTGACATTGACTAGTCATCTGCAGCTAAGGGAAACCCTGGAGATACAGAGATGGAGCGAAGTTCCTGAAAAGGGAGGAAAGGAAAGGGCCAAGGACCCAAAACATGAGATTTGCTTTGGAGAGGCTTGGAGATGCAGAGGATTCTAATGTTTCTTCATCCTTTTTCAGCAGGAAGAATTGGCGAGAACTGGACAATGTACAGACCAGTAAGGAGAAGACTTCAGACATATATACCACTAACAGCATATTTCTTTCATGAGTCATCCAATTTCCTCTTTGTGATGGTAGAGAGGTAATGAAGACTAAAACAACTTATAATTAAATTTTACCTCCAAGAAAAGAAGACCATAGAGCTATCTGTCAACACAGGAATAGAGCAGCTGTGATCTTGACCTCTGACCTTGTTCTGCCCTGGGGGAAAGGCTGGTGGGCACACTGAAAGCCAATAGTATGTAGAAAACAGTTTCATGCAATGAGGGGGAGTCCAAATTCATTTTCTTCCAAGCTAAGATTCCATGAGAGTCTAGAATTTAAATATTTTGTGATTTTTTTTCTTAACCTCTTAGTCTAGTCAGAAATCAAACAGGTTAAAAAAAAAAAAAAGAAATCAAATGGGTTGGGATACCTGGGTGGCATAGTGGTTGAGCATCTGCCTTTAGCTCAGGTCGTGATCCTGGTCCAGGAATCGAGTCCTGCATCAGGCTCCCTGTGAGGAGCCTGCTTCTTTTCTTTTCTTT